ATATGACACTATGCAAGACTATACAACACTATACTACGCTATAGACGACTATTATACCAGACATGACAAGACTAAACAAGACTATACAACGTTATACATGACTATACAACACTATACGTCATTTCGATGTTTTCCTTCGTGGTTGAGTTAATAGTTATATACCCTGTGCCTGTGAGCAGAGCCTTAATATCAAGTCTTCAATCATTTTCACGTTTTTCTTCGTAAATCATAACAACATTTGCCAACATTGAACATGCCTGCATCATTCTGTCATGATATTTAAACGTTCAATATAAACTTATTACTAATAAGTAAACATTGTCAACACCATATACTAATAATTGGCTAAAACATACCTGCAAAAATAATTTTCTAATGAAATTATTGTCTTTTATTTGTGAAGAAATTATCGTTTTTTTATATTTTTCATCATGGCGGAAAATACAGAACGAGAGCTTTACAGCAACTTACGAGCAATTACCGACTGACAGAAATCTATATTTTGATTGAAGCTTCTATATTTTGATTGAAGCTGCATGGTTATAACTCAGTCAAGGAAACTGGCACGAGTCATAATGTCAAAATCAGTTGTCAAGAATAGTGTGCTGCCTACGGCAGCAAAATAATAAAGAAAATCTAGTGGAAGAATATTTGATTTAATAAAGAAGGGTATAACCTCCAAAGTTTATTAAACGTACAACTTGTTTTTCTAACACAAGAAGTTGATTGAGATCTGTTTTGCAAGCTTGTCCCCAAACAGTTAAACCATATGTCAAATATGGGTGCACTAAAGCATAATAAATCCTTTCCAAAGTATGCTTAGGAGTAAAATGTCTAATTCTAGCGACAATTCCAACAATCCGACAAAGATTAAGGGAGATGTAATCAATATGAGATTTCCAAGATAAATTGGAATCAATTATCAGACCAAGGTATTTCACTGTATTTTTCCTCTCTAATGGTAGCATCATTTTGGAGCTCTGATCAAATACTTTGAGTTGATTATAATTTATCTTTTTCTGCCTTGTATGGAAAATAACAAAATTAGATTTCCTGGTGTTAAGGGTCAACTTTTTAGCTTCAAGCCAACAGCAAACCTTCTTCAGTTCATTATTAACAATTTCTTCCAATTTATGAAGATTTTTATGAGAGTAAAGTATGCTAGTGTCTTCCGCGAACAAACAGAAATGTAATGTATTGGGTGATAAATAAATGTTGTTCACATATAAAAGAAAAAGCAAGAGTCCCCTCCTAGAGCAGATCCTTGAGGAACTCCATGGGAACATTTTTCCTTTTTGGATATAAAATAACATATAGCTGTTGTTTGATACCTATTGTTTAGGTATGATCCAAACCAGTCAAGTACAATACCTCGAATACCATAATGATTAAGCTTTCTTACTAAAATATGATCCACAGTGTCAGACACTTTTTTTAAATCAATAAAAATACCACAGGTAAATTAACTGTTGTCCACATTTTTGTGTTTTTAATCAACAATATCAATAACAGCATACTGAGTTGAGTAATGTTTCCTAAAGCCATACTGTGCAGGAAATAGCAAGTTTTGTTTATCTTTAAAATCATTTAATCTAAGGTACATAACTTTCTCAAAGATTCAATTGAACACAGACAATAAGGAGATAGATCTATAATTATCTGGTTCAGACTGGTCTCCAGACTTGAAAATAGGAACAATTTTTGCCATTTTCAATTTGCTTGGATACACACCTTGTCCGATAGACCTGTCAATATTCATTGCTAAGACAGGACTAATGATGGATTTTGATAGCTTAATACCATAAGACCATAAGTCTTATTTCCTGGTATACTAGATATTTGTTCTTGAACCTTGTAAGCAGAAAAAGCATTGAAAAAGAAAGATTCATTAACAGAGTCCCCTAGATATGATGAGAATGAATTATCAGATGATGCCTACTAGCTAGTTTTTGCCCTGTAGTAGCAAAGTGAGCATTGAATATATTACCAATTTCAAACTGGTGATTAGTTATTAAACTAGAATTTTTTTTAATGTTTCTAATGTTGCATTTGTTTTTCCTTTTTTCTACTAGAGATTAGATTGTTAATTCCCTTCCAAGTTTGTTTTATATTGTGTAAATTAGACTCAAAGAAAGAATGATAATATAGGGACTTACTGTGCCTTGTGAGCTGAGAAATTCTATTTCTGTAAAGTCTATATTTATCTCTCACCATTTTTGTAGTATTTGTTTTTTAACCTAATTGAAGTTCTGATTCCTTTGGTTATCCATGGTTTAGAAATTTGTTTTGCTTTACAATTTGATACAGGCTTAAACGGTGCATGTTTATTTGCTGTTTTGTTAAGTTTGCGATAGAAAGTGCAAAAAGCAGTATCAACATTTGTATGATCCTGTACATTCACAACTTTGTCGTGAAGATCTGTTAAAAACAACCGCTTGTTAAATTTCGAGTAATCCCTTATTTTCTTGTTTCTAGTCCTAGATGAGACTTTGTGCAATTATACAGAATACAGACTTGTGAAAAATGATCACTTATGTCGGATACAATATTTCCACTAAGGGAGTTGCACTCAATGTTATTGAAAAATATATTACCAATAAGAGTTGCAGAATTACCGTAAACTCTTGTTGGTTTAGTGAGTCAGGAAAAGGTGGAGCTGTATAAACAGTTTAAAAATTGTTTGCTGTAGTTTTTTAGTTACTTGTTTCATATTTAAGAAGATCTATATTGAAGTCACCCATCATGCAAACAGTCTTAGACAATTTGTTGAAATTATATAAGGTTGCACTTATATAACCTACAAATTTAGTTGTATCATTGTGCTGTCGATAAACAACACCACAAACAATACTTCGGTTATCACCCATAGCAAGTTCTATCCATAGAGCCTGAAAGTAAATATTTGAAGTCCTCTCAATGACAGAATAATTGATGTTATCTGCTATATACATGCCCACTCCAACTGCTGATAGTGGAGTAGGAACGTATTCAAAATTATACGCTGGTAAATCGGGGCTAAAAGTTAAAGGCATATCTCAACTATCTTCGTTTCAGAAACACCAATGATATCAAAAGTAAACTTTAACTCACTCAATAGGTGATTCTGAAATGCCTCTATATTTTTTTTAGTCTTCTAACATTATTATGCAGGAATGATAGTTTAGGATTCCAGGTATTTTGTATGGTATTCTTATGCAAATCAAAGCAGTGAGGGGAGAAGTATCAGCAGTCATGCTGAACAATGTTATGCAAATTGCGATCAGGATTAATGTCATTATCAAAAGTACAGTTGAAATTAAAAATATTTAGATCAGATAAACTAGGCAACAAATCTAAATCATTTTTAGAAGACAGTGCATTAGATAAGATGTTATTGAAGTTACCATGAGCTTGCAAAATGTTTTGGTGATAATAGGGCAAAAGAGAAAGATGATATCGATTTTTTTGGCATTGTTCTTTATAGCTCGAAGCCATTATTATAACTTTGAATATCATTAGTAAATAACTTTAGCATTTAAGCTACAACAGCAATCACTTATCTGGATCATCATTAGCACTTGCGGCCAACTTCCGTAGATCTTCCAACTCACTTCTCTTGCTTTTACGCTTGTTATCTTGTTCACAAAGGAATACTGAGTTATTCTCTGCCCACCAATAAGCATAGTTGTTCATTGACTTGAATTTATTTGCTTCATAGAGCAGAAACTGGGCTTTTGGTGTAAGGTGATCTAAAACTCTGATCATATCTGAGGCTGTATCTAGCTCATTACTTAATCCCAACTGTGAGGGCTTGACATTCTCTGCCTCTTTTCGGACTTGCATGAGACTCTTTCGAAAAGTGCCTGGTAAACTTATGCACTATAGACTTCGGTTTACCCCGACTTGAATTTCGTATTGGTACGCGATGATCAATGTCATTAATTGAGATGTTGGCCCCCATTGTATTGAATAGCTCCAGGCATAGATTAATTGTGTCGAGAGACGATTCATTTCTGTTAATTTCAGGTACACCTAAAACTTTCACGTTGTATTGGTAATTATACGCTTCAATATGATCAAGTGCCTTCCTGATTCTTTCAGATTTTACAGCAATTTTGTCTAATTGATTTGCGAGACGTTTTAGCACTTTCTTTACTTCCTCATTTGCTGAAATTAAGTCGTCGTACTGTTTACTGAGAAATTCAATCGACTTTTCTTGTTCGAGCTTGCTTGACTGAGCATGAGGCTTCGGCACTTTACTGAGTTGAACATTCAGTTCTTTAAATTCTTTGGATGGCTTATCCACTTCAGCTTATCCACTTTCTTCAATTCTTGGTTTTCTTTTCATAATGCCTTTACTTTGGCCATACCAGAGTGTTTTGTGTTAAGAATATTTCAAATATTAAATAAATTTTGAAAATTTCTGTAGATTTTCTGTAGATTTAGATAGATTGAAATAACTTTTTCGTATAATAAATATGAGAGCCCAACATATAACTTTTAACAAAGCCATTAAAACAGTTTTAAAAGATTGTAAAGAATTTTAATTGTAACGTTTCGTCTTTAACTTAAGACATCTTCAGACTAGATAAAATTACACGAGATGTGAATATATATAAGCTAATTATAATCTATTTACAAGGTGTTATGTTACTAAGGATAATAAAGGATAAGAGGGTGTATGTAAGACAGGACAATACAAATGAGGAAACAAAACAGACAAAAGAAAACGGCAAATTACAGAAGGTTAAGCGGAATAGAGCTACCCTGGACGTTAAGAGTAGGTTTGAGTTTAGATATAAAAAGACTTTCGTGAATCAATAATTCACAAGTGTCTGAGCAAGAGGAAAGAATTTTGAAGTCGTCAAAGTTGGCAGAGTGCCCTGTAGTATTTAAGTGGGAGAAAATACTAGACATGACTGGACTGGATGACAGCTGGCCTGTTATAGGAGTGAGTCCCAGGTGTTCCAATACTCTGGTGTGTAAATGGCGCATGGTTTGACCCACATACGACGCGGAACAGCATCGACACTTAAATAAGTATACAACACCAGATCTCAGGAACGTAGGAACTTTATCCTTGAAAGCAAAGAGAGAAGAGATGCGTTTAGTGGAGCGGAAGATAAATCGAATACATAACAGGCCAGCTGTCATCCAGTCCAGTCATGTCTAGTATTTTCTCCCACTTAAATACTACAGGGCACTCTGCCAACTTTGACGACTTCAAAATTCTTTCCTCTTGCTCAGACACTTGTGAATTATTGATTCATGAAAGTCTTTTTATATCTAAACTCAAACCTACTCTTAACGTCCAGGGTAGCTCTATTCCGCTTAACCTTCTGTAATTTGCCGTTTTCTTGTGTCTGTTTTGTTTCCTCATTTGTATTGTCCTGTCTTACATACACCCTCTTATCCTTTATTATCCTTAGTAACATAACACCTTGTAAATAGATTATAATTAGCTTATATATATTCACATCTCGTGTAATTTTATCTAGTCTGAAGATGTCTTAAGTTAAAGGCGAAACGTTACAATTAAAATTCTTTACAATCTTTTAAAACTGTTTTAATGGCTTTGTTAAAAGTTATATGTTGGGCTCTCATATTTATTATACGAATTCGTTTTCCGCCTGGCAAATCTCTGGCAACGATATTGAAATAACTTTGGAGATGCATAAAACTCAAAATAGCGTCATTAGTTTCTGAGATGTTATATATACTTTGAATATATTTTCTGCTTTCAAGTAACTCATCAACACTTATATAATTGACGGCATATACAAACATTCTGTTTTCGGACAAAATGATTAAAAACTGAGTCAATGACAATTTTGATAATGTAGTTGCAAATTTACCAAGAATAATATCAGGGTTAGTACCTTTCACTCTCTCTAGAATTTGAGCTGAGTAGCATATTGCAGATAGGGACCGAATATGCTGTTGGAAGTGATCCCTGTGGAAATCTAGATTGTACAGCCACTAGAAATTCATTCAATGGACCAGTGAAAATCGGATCATTCACCAGGCAAGTTAAATTGGTTGCCCCAAGATTTGTCATCAACACTTTTCTATAAAACAGGACACTTCACCACATGTTTGTAGGTAAGTTTGAAATTACTCGATTTGGGCAGAACACCATATAGATTCATCTCTACATAAATACAGTATATGGTATTCTCCACAAATTTACTAATTTCAAGTCTAATTATCATCATGCAGATATTCAAAGAATGTATTTAAATTTGTATTTTGATCTGAATAGTCATATATTTTGAAGTGATTATAATTTTATGCTCGTCAGTTATAATAAAACAATTTAAATCTTTTCCCATTGTAGTTTAGATCTTGCTGCCAATTTAGCAATCCAGCATTCTTCATTATTTCACTGCTGGTCAACAAATCACTGCTGGTAATAATCAAACTTTCATTAATAACAGATGCATGTGCATGTGGTAAACCACTAACTTCAAAGACTTTATGATACTGATACTTACACAGATGTCCCACTGGTGTGTTGATCGCCTCCAGAACAGAACAAAGGATTCGTACTTGTGCTGATTCCTTAACCTAACGCCAAAATCCTCTTCGATAGTGTTTTGCCCACATATCTGTTTTTCAGGGTCGACAACAGAATACCGATGGAACCTTCATCTAAAATAATATTGAATTACAACTATGTAAATGAATATTTTATTTTTTTCAAATAAATCCTGAAAATGAAAACAGTTAAACTAAATTTTGAAAGATAACAATATTTAACAATTATTCACCTAAGGCTCGGTGATTATTGGGGAATATTCGCCGAGACGAAGTCGAGTTGAATATTCCCTGATAATCACCAAGCCTGAGGCAAGTAAATGTTTTAGTATTTTTGCACATGTTTTTTTGTGTTTTTCTGGTCTGAATTCACAAAACGGCTAGCCACCATGAAAATGTCGATTTTGTTATTGTTCACCTGTAGGTGAATATAACAGATTAATACATCAAATTTGACCAATCACCTTGTAGGATTTGTTATGTTCATTCCAACAAAAATACTAAAAATTTACTTCAAATTTGAAATGCTTTTTTATAACCTTATTGTTGAGTTCGTTGTAGTTGTCATTATATAATTGCCATTCTTTATTACAAGAGATACACACTCTGTGGAAGCATACAAGAACTAAGTTTTATTTTACATCCAGTGTATTTATGTTACAATGTGCTAAATTACAATTGGTCAGAATAATTATTAATCATGCTATATATGGTATTACAGGAAATGTATTGTATTCATTGTCTTAATCATTGGTTAACTGAACTAAAATCACAACTAATTACATTATTGTTATATGAACTATTATGAGCATAACTTAACACCTCCAATTCCACTTGCTCTTATGCTGAATGATACTTACCTGAAATAAATGGTCCAAACTTATCTAACTTGACTTTACTAACTCGATTTGTAAAGATATCTGCTACATTCTCGTCCGTTGGAATATATGCTAATACTATACTACCTGTTCGAACTTCTCTTCGAATGAAATGATACTTCACATCGATATGTTTTGATCTTTTATGGTACATAGGGTTCTTAGCTAAATTGATTGCACCTTGGTTGTCACCATTTACCAGAACACTATAACTTACCTGAACAATATTTAGATCAACACAAAACTGCTTTAAGGTTACTCCACATGATGAAAGTCCATTTCAGGAAAATGCTCGCCGCGCACTAAATTTTTCAGTTTCCCCCCTCAAATTTGGCACTCACAACGATAATTCATTGCTGCTGCTACTACTTTAACAAAAATTATACATTTTTAAAAACTATGGTTGTTACGAGCTGCTTTTGAAAATATGACACACTTCGCGCGACGAGCTTTAGAACCATCCGATTAAACTCAGAAGCTTCCGAAATATCACATTTCCCATGTTAAATGATCAAAGAACAAAACCGTGTTCGCGTTTTTTGACAGGTATTATATTTGCCGAGATATAAAGCAGATAAGTTGACTCATCAAAAATTTGCAATAACGATAGAACAGAAGCCTATAATTTGAAAACTAAAGCATTGAAAGAAAAATGCGAACACGGTTTTGCTCCTCTGATGTTGTTCTACATTGTGGTAAAGTTTGGTAGCAATTGAATAAAACGTGCCCGTTCCATAACTCGTCTTGCGAGGAAAACCGGGCTGATAATTCCTTCTCTGTAAAAGACAAAAAGGGATTTCACCGAGATTTTCCGTTCTCTGTTATGTTTCTCCGCCCCCTGTCATCACTTCAAACTGCAGCCAATCAGGTTCGACTTTTAAAGTGTGTTTTGGGTGGGTTTCATTTTGACTCAGCATCAATGACAAGGTGATAAGCAAGCGCACTTTATATAGTTATATATAAGAGATTGATCACTTTTTAAACCGGCGTTTTACTTAGAAAGCAAATTACACTGTGTTGTGTGCGTGTACCTACAATATTGCAGTGATATAGCTATATCTAAAACAAACAAGTCGCCCAATGTTGAATACCGCCACAGATGCGTAACATGCACCCTGTGGTCAAACCATATGGTCAAACTTATCCACAAACTGTCAATCACAATTAAAACATTCCCGGGGGAAATATATTAGACTATAACATTTTCGGTTATATCTCGGTTGCATTTTAATATTTTCAAAAAATATTTGCAGAAATGGAAAGATCTCTAGCCCCTCGATATAAATCGATAAAAATGTAAAACAGGACAAAATCAATATTTTCATCATATGGAGTAACCTTAAGAACTTGGCTTCCTGCACTGCATCAACCTCGTTCCCAGGGTATTTGCTCTTGGGAAGCAAAGACCCTGGTGAACGCTGGTCACGTGATCTGCTAAAATCTAGCAGATTTTTAATTAGCGTTGTTTTGTCAATCTGGGAGGGGTGGGAATGTAGTAGTTGACATTCGCCAGATGCATTAGTGCTGTATAGATAAAAAAGATTTGCAGAAATGGAAAGATCTCTAGCCCCTCGATATAAATCGATAAAAATGTAAAACAGGACAAAATCAATATTTTCATCATATGGAGTAACCTTAAGAACTTGGCTTCCTGCACTGCATCAACCTCGTTCCCAGGGTATTTGCTCTTGGGAAGCAAAGACCCTGGTGAACGCTGGTCACGTGATCTGCTAAAATCTAGCAGATTTTTAATTAGCGTTGTTTTGTCAATCTGGGAGGGGTGGGAATGTAGTAGTTGACATTCGCCAG